CAGAAAGCAAAGGAACCAGCTATCAGGTAATAAAGTCTCTGGACCCAATTAAAGAGGCCCCTCCAGCCCGTGGGGAGGGTCTGCAGGGGGTGGGCTCCCCGGGCCAGAGCCTAGGACCAGGGAGCCTGGGAGGGTCACCGGCAGCCAATGTTTGAGGGTGAACAAGTAGGGAAGTTTGAAGTAGCCCAGGCCCCATCCCCACACTGACGCCTCCCGTCCCCCCAGGCCTCAGGCACAGCTCTGGGTGCTGCTTGGAGCTGCCTGGCCTCACAGACTCAGGTCTGCAGCCTGACTCCCCGACCCAGAGAAGCCACTCCCCTCCCCGAGCCTGTGTCCTCTCTCCCGCACCGACGTGTGGAGGACTCGATACACCAAATTCCTTGGACAGGTCGAAGGTCAGTGCCGGATAGCTCAGGATGGGTGATTCCGGCATCTGTGCCAGGCAGGCCTCATGGTTCAGTCAGGGAGTGGGGGGCCCACAGGGTGTGTCCCTCCCTCCTGGACCCGTCCTGACGGCCCAAGGTGACCCAGCTGCCTGCCTGGGACCAGACCCAAAGGCTTCCTTACGTTAATGCTTTTTTCTTCATTCCTCAAGCCCATCGCTGACTATTGTAAAACCCCCCAAAGTTACCTTTGCAATTCATTTGTTTGCCAGGCGGGCAGATTTATGGCAGGTATCTGTATAAATATTTATACTCTGCGGCAAGGAGGTTTTGGAGGACACACACACACATGGGGTCCTTGCGCCCCCTCCCTTGGCTCGGCCACCAGGTGTAGCCAGTGGCTGAGTGATGGCCACCCATGCACTCAACCTGAAAACATGTGTCCAAAGCCAGACAGGCCCACACCACAGACACACGACACTCCCACATGCAACCAGCATCCCATTGAGCTGGGCCCTGTGCCACCAGCTCCAGGCAGCCACCAGCTCACTCCATCTCCACTCCACAGAGGAGAGGCCGAAACTCGGAGAGATGGCGCCAGATCAGGGCGGCACGGCCAGTAAGGCAAAGGGAGGTCTGAGGTCAGCACTGAGCAAGGACAGCACTTCTCTACTCCGTGCCCCCTCCCCTGAGGGCTTAGCTCTGCAGGAGAAGAAACCAGGCGAGGAGGGGATGATGGCCTGCCTGCTGAGGCTCTTCCATCAGGATTGACTCAGAGCAAGCACCCCTGCACCTAGACCTGGGAGCACCTGGCGGGGGAGGTGGTGGGGTGCTGTGTGCCCCTGGGGGCACGTCAAGGTCAGACTCAGATCTGAGCAGCCTCGAGGAAGGACAGGCAGCGAGCTCCATGTGGCCAGAGAAGGTAGCGACCATGAGGAGAGTCAGCCTCCTGCAGGGCAGGGACCGTGGGTACCACCGGCAGCCACAGGAGGTAGGGGCTGGAGGTCAAAATGCACCAAATGTGATAATGAGACGGCAGCCAGGGCCAGGCCTTTGCCGCCTGTGCAGGGCGTCACAGACCCCAGCCTGGCTGGGCTGGGGGTTCGCAGCCCAACCGCCTGCCTCTAAAGGTTTGTTCACTGAACTAGACGCTTAAACATGCTCAAGACAGTAAGTTTTATGTTATGCGTTTTTCACCACAATTTTTAAAATTTAAAAATCGAATCCTGTCATTGGGGAACTTAAAACCAACAATCTTAAAAAGAAAGGAGAAAACTAGTCCTGTTGAGCCTGTGAGGGGCAGGTAGGGCGTGGGGGTGTGAAGCCGGCCTGCAGGGAACGCTTTGGCCGAGCTGGGCAGGGAGCCCAGCGGCTCAGCGCTGGGAACAGCTGTCTCTCGCCTGGAAATTGCTGCAGATTTGGGTAAAAGGCACACTCCCAGTCCATCGCTCACCTCCCACGTTCTCTGGAATGTTTCATTGGTGAGAGCTGATGTATGCTGGCTCCTTGCTCCCTAATATTATTGTTCGATTAGAGCAGGCCTTTCACCCATCCGCAGCATAGATCATCCGCCCGTCGGGAGCCCACGGGCAGCGCGCCCGAGGCTGCGCTGTGGGGAGGGGCCTGCCCACCTGGGCTGCTCAGGTCCACAGCGACTGGCAGGAGCACCATGCCTAGGTCACCGCCACCCCACCCCCACCTCATCTGCTGGCAGATGCCGCCTGGATGGCCTGCTCAGCTCCTCTCCGCTGCCCACTGCCTGCCCACCCTGACATTCCGCCTCCTCCCAGGGCGCCCCTTCCCCCGGAGGCTGAGCCTCTTTCACCCCGGACAGCTCTGAGGCGGGGTGGTCTTGCAGCTCCTGTGCCTCAGTTTCCTCATTGGTAAAGTGGAGGCTCTAAGTGCGGCTCTCACGGATGGTGGAGCCACAGGTTGCTAACCGTCCGTAATGCTATTCATCACGCCACTGTCTCGGGTTCTGTGCTCTAAGTGCCTCAGGAGCCAGGGGCTCTGTCTCCCACGGGGAGCTCTTCTGTGTCTGGGGGTGGGGTCCGTGGTCCGTGGGTGGTGGGTGCACAGAGCTCAGTCGCCGCTTCCCAGGTTTGATCCCATCCAGCCGTGACCCCTCTGGGGTGCCGTGGCATCCCTGTGAGATGGGAGTCATCTCTTCCCTGTGCACCTTCCTCACCTGTGTGAGACGAGAACGCACCTTCAGAGAGGTAGCAGGTGACGGGGATGGGAGGGGTGTCTGGTGTTGGATCAGGTCTCCCAGGTGGAAACTGTGATAACCGGGGCTCTCGTGTCCCCTGGTGCATCCCCCACCCCAGCCCTCAGCCCAACACCAGTCACTTGCTCGGCAGGGCCCGGCCCACAGAGAACATGTCTCTTTCCCAGGCTGTGCTACCTGCATTGTTTTTACCAAGCTCCACTGCACACTGAAGAAGAAAGAAGACATTTGCTCCTGAGTGTCTGAGCTCTGCCTGTCCCCAGGCCAGTCCTGAGGTCTCCCTGGCCCCAGGGTCCTGTTCTCCCCGGACCCCGAATCAGTGGGCTGTCTCAGTCATTGCCACTCTAAATAGATGGCAGGCAAGTGCTTAGAGAAAGGAGTTGGTGCTCCGGGGCCTACCCAGGACTCCCCAAGAAGCCAGGCTGGACACTTGGTTTCCTTCGCGGACAGGTCAGTCTGCGTCGGCCGACCCTCAGCAAGTTTTCTCATGAGGATCTTGTGAGCATTGGGCAGAGAACCGTCTGGATGACAGAGTAATCAGAGAGGTCCGGAACTGGTTGAAGACCTGTTCCTCAGGCGGCAGCAATGAGGAGAGCACCCGCCCAGGGACCAGGGAGACGGCTCCAGGGGCCAGGGGCTGCCACTGGCCTTGGTCCTGCCTGCCTGGTTGTTGTCAATGACTTGGCTGCAGATGTGTTGTCAGGCTGACCGAATTTCAGGTGGCTTAAAACTGAGAGCGAAGGCGCATCTCTTAGGGGGCAGAATACAAATGCAGACACATCTCAGCAGATGAAAGCGATGGGTTGAATCCGACAAGATGAAGTTCGATAGGGAGAAATTTGGGGGCTTTCACTTGGGTGGACGTTCCAGCTGCAGATGCACAGACAGGAGACGATGGGGCTTCAAGCGGCTGTGGACAGCTCAGTTGGAGTCTCCAGTATCACACAGCTGCCCGGCACCTCGTGGCACCGTAGACGTCATGAAGTCACGTGCCAGAGAGAGGGGTGGGGGTGGGGGGGGGAGTGTGGGTCCCACGCTTCTCTGCAGTTTAACCCGTTCTGGGACCCAGTGGGGTCAACACTAATGTGTTCAGAGGTGTGTGGTAGGATGTGAAGACTTCACATGTGTGACATGTGACATGGTCTACGGGAGGGAGGACCCACTGGGAAAATGCTCGTTCGAGGGTGGTCCCAAGAAAAGGGCTGTTTCCTGTGGCCCCAAAGGAGGAAATCAGGGCCACGTGTGGAAACTGCCAGAAGTCAGACGTCAGGTAAACAGGGAAAGCACCCTACCTTGTACAGAGGGAGCGTGGGGACTGTGGTGGGTTAAATTACTGCATGTGCATGACCTGGAGTCACTTAATAGGGAGTGTATGGTCAGGACATGGAGAGGCGGGTTGGCCTCGAGGTTCCCTTGCAAGTGCATCTGGGTCACGTGATTCCTGCAGGGTGTGGAGACTTCCCGGGGCACCTGCACCCCGCCCTACACCTTCTACGTGCGGTTGCTCCAATAACGTCCAAGGCCAAGGTGGGTGGGGCGGGTGGAAGAGTGGAACCCACCCTGTCTGAGCAGCAGAACAGACCCATTAGTAACGTAACCCTGGGAAGGGGGCCCCTCCCTGACGGAGGCAGCTGCCCCCTCTGCTTTCTCCTTGGGCTCAGCAACACGGGGTAGCTGGTCCCACAGAGGAGGAATGAGAGGGCTCCACGCTGCCAGGGGTCCTGTTGGACGGGAGCTGGAACCTGAGTGGGCCCTCAGCGTGTAGGCTTTGTGGGGGCCCCCTGAGGATCTGGGGGTGTCTCTTGCTTGCTGGTTTTCTCTGTCCTCACCCCTCTGGTTTCAGGCAGTAGCTGCCTTCTGCCTGCGGGGAACTCCTGACTGAAACAAGCCAGGGGGTCCGGTGAGGCTCTGAGGAGAGAGAGCAAAGCTTTGCTTGGCCTCACTCACAGGACTCTCCCTGCAGCTTGCACAGCCCAGGGCCGGGGCCCAGGGGAGACAGGCAAGGGTCTCATGCCAGGGCCGCAGTGCACCGGTCCATTCCCCGGGCAGTGTCTCTCAGAATATGCTGTGGTGGCTGTGCCCTCGGGGAGCGTGAGTCCACGGGCTGGGCCGGCTGGAGCAGAAGGTGTGAATTGGTTAGAGGAAGCAGGGGACCCGGGAGTCACTGGGACCAGACTGCAGAGGACCGTGGCTGCCAGACCAGAGGACTTCGAGCTAGTCCTTTGGCACCAGGAGCGATAGCATGTCTTGGAGCAACTGAGTGGTCCAGTCAGGCACAGAGGTGGGGCCATACGAAGTGGAACTAGGGCAGTGACGGTGAGACCAGAGAGCAAGAAGTACGTAATCCCAGGGTGTTTAAAGGACTCCAGATCCTTCAAGTGTCTGGCCCTCAGGCCGGCAAGGAGAGGGAGTGGTCAGGATGCTGCCCATGCACACGGCCGGGAGGAGGGCCCCCATTCCCGCCCCTGCAGCCCCACAGGCCCTGCAGATTCTGTGGAAGGCCCCGAGAGCCGTCTCCAGGAGATTCCGTACTGTAGTAGTTTGGGGCAAGGAGGTTCCGGGGGTAGGCCTGGTCCTTGGGCAATGGCTGGGAGAGGTTTGGGTCCCACCGGGCCCTGGGACCCAGCCCAGCCTCCCACCTCTTCCTCCACGCAGGGCAGTGT